AACCCTCAGTTACGGATACGGCTCATCAATCCTCGGCTATGAATAAAGGTTGGTAGATACACTTATTCTGTAAAACGTATAAAGCAGGTGGACGTTGATGTCTTCCTACTTTATATGCAAACACATAAACCAACTGAACCAACTACAACAGAGGCTTGTAAAAATTTGAATCCGATTAGAAACGACATTTTGTGTATGTGTGTAATTGAACTAGTTAACGCACGATGAAAAAAAAAAAAAAACAACAGTGAAACGGCTTTATCGTCAGAATTTGAAACTAGACCGGATTTTGAAATAACAGTACTGTAGATACTTCTATACAACACTAGATTACATGTAAAGGAAATTTGAAGATACTGTATGGGGGAACCCCTAAAACATACATTAAATACAATGAATAAGAGCAAAGAGTATTGAATAGCAAGAGGTCCGACTTCCCTGATTTTGTATGCACGCAATGGAACATACTGCCACGTGATGGGGGCGCCCTATTATATTTCGAATAGAGTTCGCTCGAAACTTTTAAGTTTTAAGGACACGCCCCTTCGTGGCACTACTTTTAAAAATAGGATTACGTTTCAACGAAACCACGAGAGTTGGACCTCTTGTAGTTCTATAGTCTTTAAGAGGAATAATCTTCATGTACTTATCGCATTGTTCCACTTGATGTTTCTTGGTTCATATTATTTTTTCAAATTATTTTTTCCTTAACTTTGTTTAGATAATTACTGTTTTTATATAATTATAAAATAAAAAACTACCTGAACTGATTGTGGTGGACACAGCATCACTATACGTTCTAATACCATAGCCTGGTCAAATAATTCTGTTATATTTCTAGTGCCTATATGCATATATCTATATGCAGGCAAACGTCCTAATAAAACAGCCTGGTCAAATAATTATGTTACATTTCTAGTACCTAATGTCTTGCTGGCAAAATCCTAATTCCACAGCCTGGTCAAATAATTCTGTTACATTTCTGGTACCTAATGTCTTGTATGTGGGCAAAATCCTAATTCCAAAGCCAGGTCAAATAATTCTGTTACATTTCTAGTACCTAATGTCTTATATGCAGGCAAAAATCCTAATTCCACAGCCTGGTCAAATAATTCTGTTACTTTTCTAGTGCCTAATGTCTTATATGCAGGCGAAGGACTTAATAAATTGTATGGAAGAGAATTGTAAACTTCACAATTATTTTTTATTATAATTATATTATTATAATTATTTACTGTATGATTTGTAGGGATGCTTGTAATAATTAATAATATAATAACAAACAATTTACTCCCGGCAACTGTGAAAATATTAAATTTAATATTGAAATATATATTTACATTTATCGCATTGTTCCACTCGATGTTTCTTGGTTCCTTATTTTTCAATTAATTTTTTCTTAATTTTGTTCAGATAAGGAGTTCCAAGAGCTAAAAACTATTGTCTCACAATGGTATGACAGCAACGAAAGTGTTCCTTTGCTGAAAGTGCTGTTCAGAGACAAGATAGACAATTGCGAGCTATCACCAGCAACTCACACGATGGACCTGCTGAATATATTACTTGCACGTGGTCATCTGAGTTCACAGAATCTTGGACTCCTGTGTGATACTATTAGCATAACCAAACAGTTTGGTCTTTTATCGAAGATTAAACAAAAACTGCCATCATTCCCAGATGTTGAGGAAGGAACCATTTCAAAAACATTCACATCTCACAGACAAAGGCTAATGAAATTTGGAATGATACTGACCCCAGATAATGTGACGCAGATCGATCAATTGTATAATACGCCTCCTAAGAAGTATACAGACGGCTGGTGTATGATCAACGATCTAGAAGACCAACAGAAAATCAGCGAAAAAAATATGAAGGAATTCACTGATTCGCTGAAAATCCTTGAGCTCAGTGTGGCATTAAACGAATTAACAGAAGGTATTTATTTATTATATTCATTAATTTATTTAAGTTGTGTAAGTATACAGTCAAATGTACTAAGATTAAACATTAAAGCTGCAGTAAATTCAGCAAGTATAACAAGTATAACCATGAGGTTCACCGATAATTTTGACATAAGATAGTATGAAATAAACTCCGACAAAATTAGGTACTGAAGATGATAAAAAATTAAAATTAGATTTTATTAAGCATGTTTAGCAAAATAATCATAATTATTTAAAAATACAATTGGATTTGTTTTTCACAGCGTAAATAACTTCCTTGTGATGTCGGAACTCAGCTGATGTTGTTTTTCGTTAAGCCAAGCCAAACTAAAAGATTCCTATGTTGGTACATTCTTGATTGAAGTGAAAAGAAATAAAATCTTTAAGCAGAAAACTTATATCAATACATTTGTCATTACATTGATGATGAAGTTGATTCGGCACTACTGTAGTTCTTACTCAAAAGACTTCTGGGTAACACCAGATATGTCAGTCGTCATCAAGCCTGCAAATCTAATTCGTATTTATCAGTACAGTATCTGAAACAATCATTTTGTCACAATCACAATGCAGGAAGTTTGATCAAGGCTGGCGTAATCTGACAGACTACCAAATGAAGTCAGGCGCAGATACAGAGAAATAAAAGCATTTAAGAAATTACATAATGCATGGATAGCCAGTCTAACATACAGTACTTACCTGATTACGTCAGTACATACAGCTGGTACACCAAATCCCCCCCCCCCAACCACTTCACACACACATGCAAAATAGTACATGGATCACAATGTTAGTATTGTAACATAAATGATTGCAATACGCATGTAATAATGTCGTCATCACAGTATAGGCCTAGTTGTATAGACATTCAAGTGGAGTGGATTTTTATCCTGGTCGATAAAATGTTTGCTTTAACATCCCCAGGGTCCTGGGTACAAATCCTGTAACATCAAAATTGTGTTTTCTCATGAATAAAATGACGTCACTCCCTAACTCTGCTATGCATTAACATTGACTACTTTTTAGAAGTTTATTTTATACGAAATTCAATTCATATAATTATACTTGAAGGTCAATGGATAAATGGGATGTGTATCAACACTTTAATTAAATTTATATAATTTTAATTTTTAATTGTTATAATTGTACAGTTTAAATAATTGTAATATTTATACTGTATAATAATAGTGGCTATCATGTTTAATTATTATACATAATAAGCAGTAATTCACTTTTGTACATATAATTATGAGGTATTTTTGAGTAAGTCTAATTTATATTTTATATCAATATTACAATTAATGACTAATGTGCAACATTGATGATCTAAATCATGCATTTTCAACATCAAAATTGTGTTTTCTCATAAATAAAATGACGTCACTCCCTAGCGCTGCTATGCATTAACATTAACTACTTTTTAGAAGTTTTTTTTATACGAAATTCAGTTCATATATACTTGAAGGTCAATAGATAAATGGCTTGTGTATCACTCACTTTAATTAAATTTATATAATTATAATTTTTAATTGTTATAATTGTACAGTTTAAATAATTGTATTTATACTGTATAATAATAATAACAGTGCCTGTCATGTTTAATTATTATACATAATAAGAAGTAATAATTCACTTTTGTACGTATAATTATGAGGTATTTTTGAGTAAGTCTAATTTATATTTTTATATCAATATTACAAAGACTAATGTGCAACATTGATAATCTAAATCATGTACTTTAAATACTGTAAATATGAATTTGAATAATGATAATAATGTAATAATTATAACTTTTAGGAATTCAAACTTATATTGAACCGTTTTTTATAGAGTAAGTGTTATTTATAGTTTTATAGTTAATGGTTCAATTATAATTGACTTTGAATTGATATAAATTATAAATACTAGTACGCAATTCTCATTTACTGTGATATTCATTACATTATCCGACTTGTTTATGTATTAAGATGATAAGTTAAGTTTTTTTTCAAAAATAGTTCCCCATATCTTAAGCCAAGTTTAC